GTGTGTGTCTGTGTGTGTGTGTGCAACGCAAAACGCACACAGAGTCGCTCTTTGCGAGGACGGCCTCGGTGGTGCGGAGCTGCTACTTCCATGGGGTCGCTGCCACGGCCGTGGCCATCTCCCACGGCGCTCCTCAAATCGCCTCGGGGAGCTCCAGTGGCCACGTGGTTCTGCAGCCCTTCCACGGCACCCAGGGCCCGACCCCCTTGCCAGGCACCCTCGGCCGCAAAAAGCAACGGAAGAGCAGCAGCTGCAGCAGAAGTTTCTTCCTGAGGGTGCGCTCAGCTGAGGCCTCCTGGACGCAGAGTCCCCGATCGAGAGTCTGTGCTACTCCTCGCTGCGACAGGCCCCGTCCGGGAGCTGCCGCGTCTCGCCGCGTCTCTTCAGTTCAAGTGCCATTTCGGGAAGTAAGGAGAAACACCTCGGCGCCAAACAGAATCCTTATCAAGGTCTAAGTTTCTGTCCTATTGATTTTCAGGGGGGGCGTATTTGGGGGGTCTGTGTGGCGTCTGTGACAGTTGGAGGCCGGCTTACGGAACGCGGTCAGACCTTCGGGGGCCTGAGGGCTGGGCGCAGGGCGTAGGCTTCTGAAGGATGTCGGTCGAAGCTGCATTCCACACGTGGCTTCTTGACTCTTCCAGTCATGTGTCCCGACGCGGCGGTATTATGTCAATTGAGGACTTACGTGCTGCCATCGAGATCACTCGAGTGTCACGTCGTCCTTGAAGGTCCTTGCGCTTGGGAACTTGATGGTGTTCCGGTCCCACCCGTTCGCTTGTTCCCGCAAGCATTCGTGGCCGCAGCTTGCGTATCTTGCTTTGGCGAGGAGCTCCTGGCAGCGAGCGACAGCAGCGGAAGCTTGCAGATCTGGGATGCGACGGCGCTGCGACACGTGTGCCGCTTCGCCGGCGCGCACCGAGGACCTGCGCCGACGGCCCGGCACAGAGGGCAGCGAGAGCAGCATCGTATAGGGCTGTGGCCGCTTCCGAGGCGGGGTTTGTCTTTTTCGACGCAGAACAGCGACCTTCTCATCTCCGGTGGCCGAGATGCCGCGTTGGTCTTCTGGGACGTGAGGCCGCCCGCCGAGTAACAACTCTGGCAGTGGCAGAGACTCTGGTAGAGAGAGATGTGGGCTTAAAGCACGTCCGCTCACGGCACTTGTCTGAGGAATTCGCGGCAAATTCAAGAAGATGCTCGGCAGAGAAAGGTGTCCGGACGTGCCCCTGGGGCTTGGTCAGAATTGCTCCAGGTCTCCGTCGAAGCTGGCATCACTTCTTTGTCTTACCATTCAGGCCCTTTCTGCCTTAGTGCAACTGCACAAGCGCGGCAGTTCCCCGACGGACACCAGGCGGCTACTTACTGGCCACGGGCACCTGCGACGGCACCATCCTGATCTTCGACCTGCGCAGCCTGGCGAAGCCACGATCTTCGAGAATCATGAGACAGAGACAGAGTGACTGCACTTGCTCCGCTTAGCAGAGGCATGCTTGCTGACGGCTCAGAGCTTCCTGACTGGCGCCATGAAGCGAACAGCAGCAGAGTAGCATGACAGACAGAGTAGCTTTCGCATCCCTGAGGTGTCGAAGAAGCAGCCTGCGGACCCTGTCCAGCGTTACGAGAGCCAGGACAAAGGAGCCCGGCCGGCTGAGAGCACAGCGAATTCCACGCGACAGCTGGAGCTGCAAGGCGTATTGTAAGTATAAGAGTGGCGGAGAATGATGGAAACCCGGATGCTTCAAAGGCAGGACTCGCAAATGCACTCGCAAATTCAAGGCGTGAAGGGCAGAGAGACAAGTTCATGCGACGAGCAGGGGTCGGAAAGATGAGTGCAAGTTGATGAAGTTTGTGTCGCATGAGAAGCAGAGCTTGGCTCCCTTGTTCGTTCTAGCGGAAGTCTCTCTGCAGAGGAGCCTTGGCTGCCTTGGCCTTCGCTCCCGACGCCTCCGAGGGCGGCTCGGTGACCCTGCGCCCAAAGGCAAAGAGGGAGCGGGAGAGAAAGAGAGCCGCCCAAACGCGCCCCCCCCCCGCTTCTTTCTCTTGAGGGAGTCTCTTTTCCCCCCTCTTTCTTCGGAGGTCGTGGCTTCCGCGGCTTCCCCGGCCATCTCAGGCAGATCCGGCAGTCGCAGCAGCTCTCTACCCGACCCTCGCCCCCTTTCGGCCCCTGTTGTGTCAGGAGCTTCTCAGACGGCCCTGAGAGCTTCTGCCTCTTCCCAAGCTTGGAAGGGTCGCTCCTCGCTCCCCCAAGCGATGCAATCTGAGGCAGACGAGTTTCACGAGGACCATCCTTCACCTTCCTGCACGTTCCTGCACCTTCACTGGGCCAGGAAGCTTTTCACGAGCGGCGCAGGACAACGTTGCCCAAAGCTTCGCCTCCATCGATTCACTCATGGACAGGTGGGGACCGTGCCCGGACCGTGCCCCGTGTGCCCCATGAGCATGCGTTCTCCTGCCTGCAAGACTTTCCAAGCGGGCTACGGTCGACAGCTTACTGCTTGGCATCTCCCTGCTTTTCGCTATCGCGGCTGCCCGGCTCTGAGGCCAAGCCCGACGCAGAAAGGCCCGGCGGAAAGGGGAGCCCGCACTGCGCGTCGGTGCGAAGACAGCGGACTCAGAGCGCTCCGCTCCGCGCTACTGCACTGACCGCAGGGCGGCCCCGGTGGGCGACCTCTCGTCGGCAGCCGTGGCCGGTCGGAGGCGCCCCGCCGCCGCCGCAGAGTGTGCTGCCGTGTCTATGTCTCTCTGCTCTTGTCCGGTTGCTGGCGCTCGCTGAAGCTGCGTCTTCGGCCAGGACCTCGAGCACCCCCTTGCCGGGCGTCACTGTTCAAGTTGCTGGAGCCTCAAATGAGTTTCACCGTCACTTTCAAGGCACAGACAGTCCAAGTCGGACGCAGCCTGTACATGCACTCCACCTGAAGCCCCACCTGAGACAGGCGGTGGGCCCCTCGGCCCCTCGTGGCGCCTCGGGGGTTTTGGGGCCTCCCCTGGACAGAGCACAAGCACTACCTGACGGGGAGGCAAACTATAAGGCAAACCCCACATGGTTGTTTCCAACGAACCACGCCCACTCGAACATGCGTGCCAGGTACAGTGACAGCGTGTATGTACACAGACACGCAAGAAGAGCAAAGTGTCGCTCTGGAGCGCCGCAGCAACTAAGTACCACAGCGCCTCAAGGCCTCAAGCATGACAAACTGCAGTGCCGTAGCAACACAGTTGACTCAGGGGGCGATAGTTGCAGTATTCCCAACTGGCACTCGTTGTTTCACTCGGCGAAGAGTTTCTCGACCTTCGACGCATAGCCAAACGTCCAACTCTGCAAGCTCAGGCTCCAGTTGAACACATAGCCAAACGTCAAACCCTGCTGACTGCTGGGCAGTCGGATGCCCTCTAGGCTTTGGTTGAAGGCAAAGCCAAACGTCAAACTTGGCTTGCGCGACGGGGCTGTCGTCGGACCTGCGTTTGTTAACAGCTTTCAGCCTGAGGATCCATAATATGCCCTCGCCTGACGAACCTCCGTTCTGCTCGATGACGGCTGGAGAGCCGGCGTCTTCTTGAAGCCAGTCGCAAACTCCTCTGCGTGAGGGCCTGGGGCTGCAGCAATCAGGCGCTGTCGCCTGTGTTCTGAGCCCTTCTACATATATTTCCATTTCCCCAGCAGTCAGAATTGAAGAAGTACGCCGCCTAATTACTTGCACAACTGCTCCGGAATGCCTTGAAAGGCGGAGCAAGAGTACTAGCGCAAAAGGTCTGAGGAGCCGAGATGGAGGGAAAGGCGCCCTTGTTGAGCTGCTTCCCATGCTCTTCTCAGTACCGATGGCAGTAACATCATGGAATCCTGGGCCACGGCTGAGAAATCATGCCGCCACTCAGCTTCCCAGTAGTCAGGCAGTGTTAGAGCCTCTGATTGGGTCCCGCGGTCCTTCTACAAATATGTATATATATATATATACATATACATGCATGCATGCATGCATGCATGCATGCATGCATGCATGCATACATACATATACATGTACATACACACCTATGTGTGTGTATATATATATACACACACATGCACGCATGCATGTAAGTAGATACAGATGGAGAAGTAGACACAGAAGTATGTACATATATACGCATCTATCCATCTATTTATGACTGTATGCTTATGATGTTTGTATTTGAGTGAGTGAGTGCATGAGTCAGTGAGTGAGGGAGTCAGTGCGTCAGTCCGTCAGTGGGTGGGTCAGTGGGTGAGGGAGGGAAGGAGGGAGGGAGGGTTGATCTGGGCTGCTTTCCGGACTGCCACTGACCTGAAGCGGGCTGCTTTCACCGGGCTCAGGTGCCATCCTACATCCAGTGGCTCCACTTGACATGTCAGAAACCGTCGGACCAAGCTGCACAAGCCAATCACGGTGCTGCAACGGCTCGTCCGTCGGATCCAACTCGGGCGAATCAGTTCAGTCTGCTGCCCTTTAGAGGCGAGTATCTAACGGAGGTGTCTCCCCTCCAGGGTTGACCGTGGGGCACTCACACCACGAGCATCGCGAGCCTTTCCGCCTTTGAACTGCCAACTTGATCCCCAAACTCGCCCCCCACCTTTATGCCAAGTGGACACGGCGCGGCACACCTGTGAGGAAATTTGTGCATTGCCTGGCTTGTTGAGCAAGCGCCACGACGACACGGAAACACCAACTGCACCAGAACCAAACCGGACGGCTCAAACCAACTGTCGCCATGTCCCGCCCAACAGCGGTCACGCGATCAACTGTCTTCAGCTCCAGTCGCCGCCCGTGCGCAGGCGACGGATCAACAGGATCGCGTCGTTTGACTTGCATGAGTCTGCTGCCCAACACATCCTGCAGACTTCCCTCAGATCCACCCAGAAGACCCTTCACCAAACCACCGCCTAAGGACAACCTATCGCGACCATAAACACTGAAACCTTGTTCAACCAGCCTCCCACCCGAGTGCCATCACGTGCAAGGTTTCTTGCTGTTGACCGTCATGGGACCATTCCGCTCGCTTTCCGCTGCCGTCCCGCAGCGCTAGCTGAGGACCTAAAGCAATGAGTCTTCCCCACCCAAATCAGGCCCGAAACAAACGATAAAGTCACGTTTGTTTTGCTTTTGTCTGTCTCTCGCTCGCTCCCTCTCTCTCTCTCTCTCTATCTCTCTTTCTGTTACAAAAGAATCCCTGGCATAAGGGGCGGGTGTGCTCGCCCCTGATAGCTAGGGTTCTTGGCCCTGTGGAGACCTGGTTGCCTTGGCGCGAGGCCTTACGTTTCCTTCTTTCGGGCGGAGTCTCTCTCGCCGTGAAAGCACAAAAGAGTCTGCGAGAACGTCGTTGTGGGCCTAGGGCAGGCGCTTCGAGCCTTTCCTTTTTCAGGAAGTCGCCCCCCTTCTCTTTAGGAGGAGCACAGAGAGGGAGTTCAGCACGTTATCAGCTACGTCTCAGCGGATGCAGAAGATCATGACCTCTGCACAAGGAAGCCAAGGGGATCGTTCCTCCGTTGCCCAGCACCGGTTCCAGGCCTGAGAGCGGGCAGACTTCGCTCTGAGCCTAAGCAAAGCCAATGCAACAGGAACTCAAGCGGCACCGTATCGAAAGAGGTGCTGGCCGCATCCCCCAGACGTTCTGAAGGTGAGACTTGAACCGTCTTAATTAAAAGACTTCAGGAGACACCCCTCGAGAGCCGAAGAAGCTCCCAGCAGGCCACCAGACCGCTGTTTTTTTTGGGGCGTCACCGCTGTCACAGCCGCTCCTTGAGGTGTCCCGGTATAGCATCGGCAGTCCCGGAGAAGATGCCGCCGCGGCAGTGCACTCAGAAGCAGAGGCCGCGGCGGAGCCCGCGCTTCTCTCTTCCCTGTTTGGTGTGCTGGAGGCTCCAAGCCCCTGGTGGAAGGGCGCGGAGGCGGCCAGAAAATTGGGACAGCTCGGAACAGTGGCCCTTCTGGGTCAATTGCCACATGTTTGCGTTTCTCGGAGCTGCAGAGGTTTGCCGCACCTTTGGGGCAGTTCAAGGGCTTCGGGCAGTTGCTTCCCAGCGTTCTTGTAAAAGGAGGCAAAGACAACTCCGACGCGCAGCATTCCACAGGTGCCACTGTTGCAGTGCATGAAACAAGACCTCCGTGAAGTGATGTTGCAAGAGGGAGTCGTGAGTAGTCTTCGCGAGAGATGGGTGAGCTTGATTAGGCACTCTCAGCATCCTCACCACCAGCAGCACTGGCGGAGGCTGAAATCATATGGCTTCTTGAGCTAGAACATGCAGTGGCGCCGGCAGGCCCTGAGGCCACTGTTGGCGGAACTCAAGAAGGACTTCAGCCGGCAAGTCCAAGAGGCGAGAGAGCCGTTGCCACTGCTGAGCTCATCATCCCGCGGGCCGCCGGCCCAATGCCGGCCTGTTTGTCCAGACGCGCCGAACAAATGGCAGACATCTTCAGTGTTCCGTTGCTCATCAACTTGGTGTGTGTGTGTGTGTGTGCATGTATATGTATATGTATGTATATATATATATATATGTATGTATGTGTGTGTGTGCGTGTGCGAGTGCAGGCCTTCATTTTAATGACCCTAAGACACGAGAGCCTGGAAAAGACGATTAGTTTCGACACCTGACGTGCAACTTAAAGTGCTGGTGCCAACGCTGTGTGTGCGGAGTGGAGCTTTGTACAGTGTCCTCCGCTTAAGGGTTAAACCGCCAGACCCCAGACCTGTTCATGATCCTGGAGAAGGCTCGCAAAACCCTTGTCTGCAGCCATCATGATGAATCTATGGGTATCGGTTAGGGTTCGGCGAGCTCGTTGTGAATCCAGATAAGTGGTCAGTTCAGCGGAGAGACCATTCTCCGGTTTGCCGGCCCGCACAGTGGTTGAATTGAGGAATGTGATGTACATGATGCTGCACTCCGCAAGCCGAACACATCCAAGTAGTTCAAGTTCATTTCTTCGGCTCCGTCAACTCGTGTGTCTCAAGCCAGAAGAGCGACATCATCACGATCCATTGCAATCGCAGATGTCCAGGTGAAGATAAGGCTTGCTCCGAAGGAATCCGTGGTTTGCGACCAGAACCAGAAGAAAATTGCTTGCTGCAGCTCGCTGTCGCTCCTTGTTATTCAATCTTCGAGGGTTTCAGTGCGGCGAGAATCGATGAGTGGAGAGGCGTGCTGTTTCGCGCTTTGTTGCAAGGAGTCAGATTTTTTTCGTGCACTAAGTGTGCGCATTGAGACAGGATACCATCTCCATACATCCGCGGAGAGCTCCCTTCATAGTTCGCTGTTTGTCGGGAATCCGGCTCATGCTTGTTCACAGATGACTACGTGTAGTGACCAGTGCATGCTTGAAGCTACGGGTGAAAGAATCTTTATATTTTGTGAAGTTTGAGTCGATGCTTGGTTCTGATTCGACCTTACAGCGCTGCTGCTCGCGGATGCACTCCGGACATGTGACAAGATGCACTCAAACATCCGTGTTTCGCCTTATGCAAAGGCCAGGACCTTCGATGAATGACGGCATTCTGTAGCTATCCAACGTTCTCCATGAATCCCGCTAATCCTGGATGGCCAAATCTGCTAGCGACACTTTTCAGTCCACTCGGAAGGTGGTTGATGAGCTTCACGAAAAACTACCCAAACCGAATCCACGAAATGCGTCATGTCACATGCACCTCTCAGGGTGCACATCGTAGTGGATGCTTCCTGGAAGAAGTACATCGTCGTCATATCCGTTTCAGGCCTTGCACGGAAGGAGACGACGGGAGGAGGACAGTCCAGAGAATCTGGGACGGTGTGTCGAATCACAGAGACGGACTCTGAAGCTTGGAGCATTGCCGAAACAACAATTTGACTTCGCTTCGCTCTTGCTCCAGCGGATGGGTCACTGTCGAGGCCCTTTGTACTTGTGACGTACAGTCGCGGTGTGCCATGGACGCGAGCAATGTACTCGTAGCGTGGGCTTCTTGGATGTGTGCCGCGGGCTCGAGTACCAGCGTCATTTCCACTGCTCGTTTGCCGCAGTCTGATGCAAAATGGACTAGATTGAAGGTATGGGCTCATGCCAATGCTGTGCAAAACTGTGCAAAAATGCATGTATCGGGTGTGTCTGCTGCGCAACGGGAACACGATATCAGGTTGAAGAACACGACTTCGGAAAGGAGTCGCAGCGTTTGTCTGCATGTTGACATGTACACATGTATACATGTATATATACATATACATACATACATACATACATACATACATACATACATGTAGATGCATGCATATAACTGCGTGTATGTTCTAGGGGCTGCGCCCACGGGCGGGCAGCGCAGCTAGCAGCGCGGAGCAAAGCCACTTACCCGCCTCCGCCGCACCCCGCTGATGCTGATGATGCGCGCCCTCTGCGGGCCGCCCAAAACATCGCCTCGCGCCGGACGGTTGCGAGCGCGCCGGGTGCTCATGATGCTCGCCGGCTGCCCTCCTGGTGTCGCTCACAGGCGCCCCAAAACCCGTGGCCGCAAAACGGGTGAGCCTCCAAACAAAGTCCCGCGCAGCAAAGCAGGGTCGGCGGCATTCCCAGCCGCCCCATTGCTAAAGCAATGCTTGCAAGCTACAGCTCGCCTGGGGCGAGGCATCACAGGGCGCACGTGCTCGGTCGGGGACCGATCGCTGCCCGATTTAGATTTGGTAATTCCGGGGTCCGGGCAGCGCTCGGTCCCCGAGCGCATGCTCCCTGTGGGTCCTCAGGCGAGCTGTAGCTTGCAAGCCTTTCCTGAGCAATGGGGCAGCCGGGAATGCCGCCGCCGACCCTGCTCGCCGAAGAGGACCTCGTTTGGAAGCTAACTCCAGCATCGCAGGCGTTTCGCAGCCATTCCCCGCGGTTTAAGGCACCCGTGTACGCATCCGGCGAGCACCATGAACCCAAAAGAAGCGCATCATCAATATGAGCCGGGTGCGTGGGCTTGCTCCGGGCAACTACTGGCGCCCGCCTGTGGGCGCAGCCCCTAGAATAAATGCTGGCGACGCGTNNGATGCTGATGATGCGCGCCCTTTGGGAGCAAAACATCGTGGCGAATGGCCGTGAAAACGCGTGCGTTGCCGGGTGAGCCTGCAAACGAGGTCCTGCGCGGCCCGGTGGAAAAACGTAAGTCCGAAGCAGGGTCGGCGGCATTCCCGGCCGCCCCATGGTTGAAGCAAGGCTTGTATTCTACGGCTTGGTGTCCAGAAGTAGAAAGCAAGCATCACACCCAGGGCTGGCTC